TGTGATTAAAGTGGGATCTTAATGTGTTTATTGTGAATTGAAAATAAAAAAAAAAAAATGTTTTTATATAAACAAAGGAAAGTAATCATGAAAAAACTATTATTACGGCACTTTCAAGCTCAGGCCACTCATTCAATATTAAAATTGGTTATGACCAGTTTCTCAAATTTGAACAATGGAAACAAAGCATTATACCACAAATATTAATAAGGATCGGATGAGTTAGAAATTCCTAAACAGAGAGTCAAATATAACCATTTGCGATAAATTTTTAAACACACAACAAATATAGTCATTTTGGTTACATCCTATATTGAACCTTTTTTTGTTCATGACAAAAAAACAAAAAAATAAAAATAAATAAATAAATATGATATGAGCTTAATAAGTATTAAGGAATGAATTAAGACAATTTTTTAAATCTTGAACAAAAAATCACAAAAATCTTTTAATACATTTATCTATTTGACCTTTAATACAAACTCGTAATTTTTGTCATGAGAATTACATGATGAACCTTATTCTTTTATAAATTCCATTAAAAAGAAAAATGATAAGGAGGGTGATCCCCAGCATTAATTCATGATCCCTCTTTCTTCTTTAAGTTAGATTTTTCAGAAATAAAGAACAGTCAACCAATAGACCATTATGGATAATTTGTATGAAAAAGCATAGCCGATAATTAAGTACAGTGAAGACTGAAGGGCACACAATGAACCAGGCCTAGTATCTTTACGAAAAAAAACAAACAATTGGAGCCCAACAATAAAGGGAGGGGTTTGAGTATTGTGAGTAATGCGTACGCAAATACATACATATCTAATATAAATATAATAAATAAATAAAAAAAAAAAAAAAAATCAAGCAGAATACTGCACATGCACGATGATAAAGTATTTATTTTATCGTCCTTTGTTGAAATTTATTGTCCTTCTTTTTAAAGATTTTTTAATATTTTATTTATTTATTTTTTACATGAGATCATATAAATGTGGAAGACTAAGGCTGCGTTTAGTAACGAGAAACATTTTTTGTTTTCTGTTATCAACCTCTAAAAAGGCAAAACGAAAACAAAAATCGCGTTCAATAAAATATTTTTATTTTTCTATAACAAAAAACGTTTTCAATTTTTGTGAAGAAAAGAGAAAATATCAAAATGATGTTTCTTATGTTTTCGGTACTGTAGCAGATAAATGTTTTTACTAATGTTACTATACAGGCACTATTCATTTCAAATAAAATTCATATTATTTGTGTTATATACTAAGTTGCATATTAAATGTTAATAAAAATATATATTTTTAATATAAAATAAGTTAAATATTATATATTATTTTTTTTTTGATAAAAATATATTTTAATATATCATATATTAAATAATAATGTAAATTATTTTTTGTGACAAAATAATTTTTGATATAGAATATAATGTTATTAAATTATTAAGCAGTAGATATTTTATATTATTATATATCATATCTATATTATATTATATGTAAATATTAAAATATAATTAATTTACAATATTAAAACACAATATATATTTTATTACATATAAGATATATTATTTAATATTTTTTATTCATAATAAATTATCATATGCTAAATATATTATATATCACATAATAAATGTATACATCATACATATACATGTATTTATATACATAATTGGTGAGAATGTTTTTGTCTTGATATATCTAATTTTGTACTTATGATGTACTAGGTAATTTTAAGATTTATAATTTTAAATTAGATGCTCTAGATTTATAGTTTTTTTATTAATAGAAGTAAGTGTCGTACCTGACTGGTTGGGTTGCTCCCTGTGTCCGAGAGTTTGTGTTTAAGTTATCTACCCTCTCCCTCACCCTCCAATCCCTGTGTCCGAGAGTTTGTGTTTAAGTCATCTATGTTGGGAAACGTGCAAGTTTTAAAAACTTTTCGAGGGATTTTCTTTCACAGATCTTAATTCATCACATAGAGACAAGTTTTATGCAAAAATAAAATATGATCTATCATTCAATTAAAAGATTGAATACTTACATCAAGATTTGAGTAAACCTTAAATCTCTCCTCTAAAGTGAATGTTCTCACTTATTGTAGATCCCTTTTGCTAAACACCTTTTCCATGGATCTCCATCTTCTTGGTAATTGTTTTGCCTTTAGGAATCACTCATAAGCCTCCATGAATGACCTTGGAAAACTAGGCTTGTGGGAGCCTCCATTAGATGAGAACATAAACCCTAATTTTCTAGAGAGAGAAAATATTTATTCCTTTTTCCTTCTACTAAAAATCACCCCCACCAAATATACATAGATCATGTATATTTATAGGCAACATAAAAATAAAGAAAAGAAAATAACAAATCATTCTCCATCTCTAATTCATATGTCTCAAATCTAATATGATTCCAATATCAAGTTGGGCTATGAGTGAGAATCCATTGGGCCTATTATTTTATTGGCTACAATGAATTAATAATTGGCCCGGTCCATGGACCCAATTCAATTAATTCATAAATTAATTTCTACTCCACTAAAAGAAATTAATTGAACTCCAATTAAATAATAAATAACCTCTAAGTCAATATTGCACTTTGACCCTTCTATGCATAATTAGTTATCGGATAAATAAAGCCATCAATCCGACTACTTAATTAATATATCTATTTTGGTACCTCTGATTATTTCTGGCTCGATCACAATAAAACATTTGTTTGACAAAAATAATAATTTAAATAAATAAATATATAATAAATCATTTTTTCTAAAAACACACGAAGGCCTTCGAATTTATTTTGTGATCAACCATAATCAATACAAAATAAATACAAGTAGCAATGATGCAAATATTGAAAATATAACCCTCTAACTATTAATTACATAACTACCCAAAGTGTCGGTCTAAGGATCCCGAAGAATCCGCCGAACAAATCAAAGTAATTATTAATTAATAAAAGAGTCTATACTTTTCTCATGCTTAAGAGTCAAATGCCATGACGGTGATAGGGAGTAATTGCATACGACGGCTCTCGCAATATATCTCAACCTAACGCGGATCCAGTTCAAGTCTTAATTAATTATGAGTCCATCCATAATTACCGACTATGAACAATTTATAATTACTATTTATATATCATGCATTGATTGCCATCACATACATATATATAAATATTTCTTGTAATTACATGGACACTATCAATTTCATAGTGAATCGAAACATAATACATTGAATTCACCAATTATATATATCATAAATATTTCAGATATGTCAGGAACATATGTCACTATAATCTAGATGAGAATTTGCTATGCCAGGGCATATAAATCCCAACAATCTACCCTCCCCCTCACCCTCCCCTTTAATCACTAACTCTTAAATTTCTTGCCATGAAAAAAATAAAATAGAAATTAAAAATAATAATAATAAAAAATTGAAAGAATATTATGTATATTTTGTAATAGATATATTGTATTACTAAACACAATTATTATTTTATGTTTTAAAATTTGTGGCAACAACACGTGTTAATAAACATTATTTTTTATTTTTATTTTTATTCAAGAAAACAAAATTATATTTTTACTTTCTTAAGACTGCACAAACAGAAAATGAAAACATTACTAAATGTACCCTAATATGATCTTGTGTGACTTGTATTTTGTATTACAAATATACTAATAAAAAATAGTGCTTTTGCATGGGTTAGGAGGATGATCCTTCTGTAGACCCGCTTATTTAGAAATAAACTTTCTTGCAATCCTTCAAGTGGATGTAATTTATTAGATAAAGTGCAAAAATGCAGATCTTAAAAGATTCCTTTGGATTTGATGAATAATATTCTTAGTCAACAGTGAATGACTACCTGGTAACTACTAAGTAGTTTTTGAGTTTTTGCGTGTGCGTGTGCGTGTATATATTACCCATTAAACTATCAATAAATATTAAAATGATACTAGCATCTTACAAGAATAAAGCATTAACAATTCAACATCCACATCCACATCCACATCCACATCCTATTTCTGATCATTTTAACATATTATTCAACTTTGAAGAAAAAACTAACCCATAGTACTGATTAAAAAAGAGAAACATTATTCAAGGAAAAAAAAAAAAAAAAATTATCCTAACAAATTACATTTTAAGTGTTTGAGATATAGCTGTCCATGTGCCAAATATATTATTAGAAAGAGATGTGTCGTGGTGGTCCCCACAGACTATCGAGATCTCACAAATAAATTAAAAGTTAGATCTATAGTGAATTTTATTTGAATCGTCCTATTTATCTTTACGTGGAGTTGTGGGATCCACACAAACTATCCAGATCTCACAAATAAATTAAAAGTTAGATCTATATTGGACTTTACTTGAATCGTCCCATTTATCTTTCTGATGAAAAGTTTTGTTGCAATCCTAATTCAAATAAGAGGAGTATACTCCTAATATGTCTTAGATAATTCACATAGATAATAATGCGGATTGAATAAGATTAAACACATGCAACGAGCACTCACTACTACCCCTTAACAATTCAATATCTATATATGAAATTATAACATAATTTTTTAATTAAAATCAATAAGTATCGGAACCCTTTTGTGCAGCGGGATCATGTGTCACTGCTGAACACAACGCGATTAATGCAGAACTCTAACATGGGTGGCGTCACCGCTGAACACAACACGATTAATGCAAAACTCTAACATGGGCCTGTATTGGGCTCCGTGCCTGTGCACCACAGTTTCGAAGCTCAGGATCCCTTGAGCCCTCCCAACTCTTGACACCTGCAATTATATAAAATCTAAAGTTAAAGAAGCCCTTATTTTAAGGTAAAGATTAACTAATTTTATTGCAGTTATACCCGTAGGTCCAATTTAATCACTTTAATTAACTCGTGTGAAGACAAGAACATTGCTTTTATTATATAAAGCTAACTTAGGTCTCTATACATCTGATACAGTAGATTCAGGCTGAATGCAGTCTGAGCTAGAGAGAGAAGATGAGGAGCTCCAAGAATGTGCTTCCATTTGTGGGCATGGTGATTTCTCAGTGTATAGTGGTGGGAACCATGATAGCAGGCAAAGCAGCCATGTCAAGTGGAATGACTAACTTCACCTTTGTCTCCTACTCAAATGCTATTGCCTCCCTCATTCTTCTTCCTTCTTCCTTTCTCATCCACAGGTATATACACACTCTGTCTCTATATGTATTTGTTTAATATGTGTGTGTGCACAAAACAAACATATGTTATGTATGCATGAAATTAAACATTCAATTGCAACTGAAATTTTGGAATTACTGATTTTTTTGTCTTCTCATTTCATGCAGATTAGGCCGTCCTCCAATTACTTTCTATCTCCTCTGTGCCTTTTTCTTGCTTGCCTTACTCGGGTTTGTTAATTGGTTCTATAATTCTATTATTATGCTTTCAAATAGAAATTACATCATGGGTTTGGTTATTTTTCAAATTTAATGTGGTGCAAATGGATATATGTGTGTGTGTGTGTGTGTGTGTGTGTTGTGTTGAAAGAAAATGAATTTCTCTTCTAGGTATGCATTTTTTTTTCCGTTTTTTGGTAAGGGTCATCTGTATGCAATTACATATACAATATGTAGTATTGTAGTCATTCAAGCATATGTTACAAGTAAATGCACAGTACATATATAAGTAAATGCACATGATTTATGGGTATATATACCATATAACATTGGTATATGTTTGTGTACTGACTTCAGTTATTACAGTTGCACAGTTCAAGTATCTGCGTATGCTGCAATTCAGTATACCTCTCCGGCCTTTGCATCAGCCATGCTTAACCTCATCCCAGGTTTCACCTTCATAATTGCCATCATATTAAGGTTTTACTCTTCTCTCACTATTAGTCTAACAAAACACAAACACATCATAAATTCGAATAATTGTTTCCTCCTATTATCTATCGCTATAAATCAATTCCGATTGCAATTAATTCATTACATTATCTCAAGGCTTTTGCCTAAATCTTTCAATGATTTATTCAAGGATGGAAAAACTAGATTGTAAAAGCTCTAGTATTGCTAAATCAATCGGAACAGTAGTGTCGATCATAGGGGCATTCGTCGTGACTCTCTACAAAGGCCCCTCGATTATGATGACCTTCTCACATTCAAATTCCCCTCATCGGCTTCTTCTCATTCATTTTTCGAAATGGATCATTGGAGGATTGATCCTTGCAGCTGACTCTGCATTGAGTTCATTGTACGGTATATTAGTGGTAAAGTATTCTTCCATTTAAACTCTCACAGAAAGTCGAAACCACTTTCAATATATGATTCACATACATAAAATTGACTACGTTTTTTTTTTTTTATTGGTGAATGTTTTCAGGTATTGATCCTTCGGAAATTCCCAGCACAGCAGATTTTAATCTTCTTTTACTGCTCCTTTGTGGCCATTCTATCTGCAGTAGTTGCTTTGATTATGGAAGCAGACACAAGTGCTTGGAGTTTACAACCTAATATAAGGCTGATTGCTGTTCTGTACTCGGTAAGCAGATTCAGCAATCTCTTTCATTGTGAAACTAAAGACCGAAAACAGATAATATTCGTGGTTAATAACTTGAGTTTAGATATATATTCAGTTTGGCAATAAAATTAGTTGGAGTTTCGACATTTTTGTGTAACGATGCAGGGAATAATTGGCACCGCATTGCAATTCACCATCACTGCATGGTGTCTGCACAGCGCAGGGGCCCTTTTTGTTGCTATGTTTCAGCCATTGGGGATTGTCATTGCAACTGTTATCGGCATCATTTTTTTAGGTGATACTTTCTATCTCGGAAGGTATGAATTCTCCTTTGTTTTTCTTTCTCTTGTTTCCGTAAAAGAATGGTGTCTAGATTTTGATTTATTATGTTGTAGAGTTAGTTTCTCTTATATTCTTGTGTCAATCTCTTTTATAAATTTGAGAATGCAAAAGGAATATGTGTCACCAGTGCATTTAAATTTCATGCAGTTTGGTGGGATCAATTGTTATTGTTATTGGATTTTATGCCGTGATGTGGGGAAAATTCAGAGAAGGCAATGACGTTAAGAGCTCGGATTCGACCATTGAAAAGGCCCCTCTCTTGCAAAACAATGGTGAGGAGACAGAAGTTTTGACACAGTGAATCAAATAAAAAAGGTCCATAACTCCCCATTAAGAGAGTTATGGAAGGATAGCGAAACTTGTTTCTGTAATAATTTCGAAAGTTGTATGAACTTGAGGTTCATTAGTGCTTGATTAACAAGAATAATTGTCTTAAATTAATGAGTGAGCAACACGATTGTTTAGAAGATCAGTTTAGCCGATTTCTCATTTCAATGGTCTGAAAACAATTTTCAAGTCCACGGCGTGACATTTGGATGTAGAAATTCACTATGAAAAGAGGGGCTATTGCAGAATAAAAGGACTTATTTAGTTTGTAACTCGGAAAACAGTTCTAAACAGGCATGCTTGGTTCATAACTCTAAATATAATTGTTAAGAACTCAGAAAATAGAAAAAAATTCTCAGAGAACAATCTTTTATAATTTCCTAAAAACAGACATTTTTATAACTAAGTTTTCAGAAAATTGAACCAAATTGAGTTTTTTTTTGTATAATTTTCAGTTCTGAAATCAGAAAACTGTCCTCAGAGTATAAACCAAACAGAATTACTATTCAGAAAGCTACTCAAGCAGTTTGTTCAAGAAACCAAAACACCTATTTGGATATTTGTGATGTCTGTAGTTGTCTATTCTATGGCCATTTCAGATGGTGGAGTTTCTATCCTGAAATGACAAGCAAAAGCGGAGGATAGATTACTCAACATTCATTAACACTTATGAGTATCCAACCTAGTAACTCCAAAATGCATTGCTTGTTCAGGTTGTACCTATATATGTTATTGTAATTTTTGGATTTGCCAAATAAAATTTAGAGCTAATTTGACGATCTGATGATGTGTGATAAAATTTGTATGAAATATTATATATCCTCTAGAGTCAAAACAAGTTGACTAGATGTTGTGTGACTAGGGGTGTAAGTCCCACTATACTCTATGCGCTTTTATTCATATTTTTATCCTATATAATTTAAATTATGTCGTTTTCACTCTCCCGGCTTCACGTGACTTAATATGAAACCTAACCCCTCGCACCCCCTATTTACATTTTGGAGCCACTAGAGTTAAGATTGCTTATGATAATTATAAATGAAAAAAGAATGATAGAAATATATAGAGAAAGAATACGTACTATATGAATTGTATGTATTGAGTTCAAGTGATAGCAATATACTGTACAAGAGTACATTAGTTTATGTAGCGGAAACTAAAGGTGTGTGAGTGTGGTCCAAACAGCTATATACCCATGCATGAAAATTGTATACAGCGACTGCACAAAGAATAATTCTTGCCTCAAATTATGTAAGAAAATACCTTCTCTTTTATAATATCAATGTAACGCCTCTACAATTTTTTTTTTTTTTATTTATTTATTTAAAAAAAGGACAAATAGTGCTCATTTCAATTTTTTTATATGGAATAATTATATGAATGCGGGTTTGAATTTAAGGATGGCCGACAAATAGTGCTAAAGATTAAGGACTATTGTAGGATACTACATTAGGTAATCAATAATCATTTAAAGGCAATATATATATATATATATATATATATATATATAGATAAAGTTTCTAAATTATAATTCTTATAAATTTATTATTATTCCTCCATCTATTAAATTTTATTATATATAAATCCAGTTTTTAATTATGATCAAGTGTTTTTTTTTTTTTTTTTTTTTTTTTAATAATAATGCCAGGTTCAAGAATAAGATTTTGATTTTTGGAGCACATTATGATGAACCACACAAAACAGTATATAATAATAATACCAGATTAACCTTAACCTTAGTGGGGAGACATGTTAGAGTACTAACAGATGCATCCAGGTGTAATCAATCGAAACATGAAAAATAAAAAATAATAATAACAAATTTGCAACAAGACCACTGCCATCAATTATCTTGTAATATACATATACATCTATATACAATTACCAGGGACAAAAAATAAAAACATGGGGCTGGACTTTAGTTAATGTTAAGGCTCTTAGGCCCAATTTTGATTATCTTGGGCCAGAGAGCCCAATGCAATAACGCTTGTTTCTTGGGGGTATAGCCTGTTTTGATTGGCTTGGGCCTGTCCAGCCCAAGACCACTAACATCAATACCCTTGTAGTATACATATCATTACAAGATTCTTCTTCCCCGGTCTTACAGGATTGTCTCTCTCACGCACACACATAGTCAGGGGAGTGCTTGAATACCATAGTAACATGAGGCCAAAGTGCCCCAACTAAAACTACGTCATTAACGGTGACTTATTGGACAACACATTAAACTAATGTCAGTGTAAACAATCTTGTTTGAATCAAAAGCTTGACAAGGGATGGATCCGAAAGTATGAGATTGATTTCTCACAAGAAATCTGATCACTCCTATTAGGTGTCAAAATAATCTGAGGCTTATTTTTTTTTATTTATTTAGACAATCTGAGGCTTATTTTATTTATTTATTTATTTTCTTTTTCAAAGGTATTGTCATTGGATGACCCTACCAGTCCTAGTCCCACGACACCGGTGACATTTAGGTTGCGAAATTACGTTACAAAGGATTGCGGACTTACGTTACAAAAGAGATTCGAACCCAAACTCAATACACTAGATATGATTCAACCAAACACCAAAGATCCGTCTACCATCCAACCCACGACATCTCCATGTGTAATTTTAGAAGGGCCTTTTCAGTGTATGTCAAACATTTTGAACTTGGAATTTTATTTTATTTTATTTTTTTACTAATTATTATTATTTTTTTTAACCAATATATATCTCCTGTGTCTAATTCTTGTTGTCGCCAGAAGATATGCATGCTCAACCCGTGTGTTCATACCTCATAAATACAAGTAAATTCTTTAAAAAGAATATGAGAATTATAGTTTGAGACAGGCTTTGTGGCTTGAGTTTTCTATGAATTTAAGCATGCTTCTTTACGGAGGCAGCTTTCAAGATTTTCATGGCATGCGTTATTATATTTTTGACGCTAACCAGAAAAGAAATCAAACAATTCCAACAAAGTAAGCATTCAACGAAGGATGGAGGTTGGAGGTTAGGCATGTCCAAGTGTCCATCTAGAAGAATTCTATCACGTTTATTCTTTTAAGCAAAATAACCCCAATTTAACTTGCGTTGCCATTGTGGGCCGATTGCAACACTCTCGGTGGTCCAAAGGACTTTGCCCAAGAGAGTTCCAAGTTCCAAAAAAAAATAGTCAAGTTTCTCCAACAATGGTATGATAACAATCACTACTGCAAATCAAAACTTCGACTTAAATTTTTTCGTTCAACCCAATAGGTCTTGATTAAACCTGATAGAGCAACTCAAGATGATTCAGTATTCACCTACTAGCCAAAAACCAAATAAACTTTATATTGAACACAACCAGATTAAACTACATCTGACTAGGAGAATCCAAAATGGGAGTAAGGAAGCATTTTGTGCCCAGATAAAAGTACAGATATTGAATAGCATCATCTATGTACCGCTTTCATACATTAATTTTTAGGAAAATATAATATAAAAGATACAGGATAGAAGATTGTATTCTATAATTCGGATAATTTACAACATTAAGTCACACTGAGTTGTTATAACGTTACAATCCCATGTACTTTCACAGTAGTAGTGATTTTTGTTTATCCATTCACGACGGAATTTTATCAGTAGGATCAGAAACATCACTCTCTGAAGGGCTATCTAGCATTGGAAGTTTCTTCCACATCAAGTGTTTACGTCTCTGGAGTGTCAACCAAATCAAGATGCTATCTGTCTTAACAATGCCATAACCTGCTTTTATATACATGTTGAATGGAACTGCATCAATCATTCTGCAATGCAAGAACACATCTCTGGAATAACTCATATGAGAAATTAGTTCCTCACTTGCCTTAAGAAGATGCCAACCAATGCCCTTCCTGAAATTTTTTGAGAATATTTAACTTAAATTTTATTTTCAGGGCACAACGACATGTACAAATCCAGACCATTCATTGTAAAGCAAAGGAAAGTAAGAGATTTGATCATCTCCAAAATATTAAAGCTCTTACTTTCACTCTAACTGTCTTGTGGCGTTTGTGTTAGCTTCCTTTCAACTTCTCTTGTCACGGGTACACTCACGCGTTGATTGCAAATGAGACAATCATTCCATCCTCCTCAAGGGCTACGATGAATTATAGGCTAAAATCTTGATATTTACAATCTCTACAAAACACTCTATATCCTTCTAGAATATTTCTCCAATTTACAAATTCCTACAAACTCTCTGTTATTCTAAAATATGTCATCACTCTACACAAATGTGGAAGACTCTACAAGTCAACCCTCCACATAAGCCATGTAAATGCATTGCAAATACCTCTTCTTACGCGTGGCATAATCTCCAGCATATTGGTGGGACAAGAAATTATGGGGCAAGTTTGACTCAACTCTCCTGTGAGTTTCTTTCATACATTAAGAATCTCAAATTTTTGGTGCAACTACAAAATGTGCACTCAAGTGCAATGTTATTTAGAAATGGATAATCCTATATATATTTAATTATTTTTGAGCATATTTAACATCAATTCAATTTGAACAGATTATGAGAACAAAATTTTTTTATAATTTGTGTGTTTTTTCAAACAATGTTAACATATTAAACATTATCTGTAACAAATCATTTATAATTTGTATTATAAATGTATGTTAAATGACTATTCAACTTTTAAACAACTATTAAACATTATCCATAACAAACTAGGCAAATATTTCATATTATTGTGGTATTATGAAACATTATTCACATCTTAGAATAAAATTTTTTTTACCATTTAATAATCTAATCCTCAACTCATACTAAATGCTACCCGATACCCTCATAATAGAATTCCAGTTGCAACCTTCAAAAAGACTCTATTTATACTATAATACTATGGGATACTTTTAAACAGTACCATCCAATTCTCATACAATTTTTATCCTTTTATGTTAAAATTTATACACAATTCTAAAAAAAATTTAGAAGATAGAAAATTAGGAAGCTATATAAAAACTAATAAAATCTAGATTGATTCATCAAAAATTTATGATCTACAATGTGAGAATTGAAAATTCTAGAGAAATTAAGAAGTGGAAATGGGCTATAACTTTGAATTTCAATATCCAAAACTCTGTTTCAAACAATAATTCTTGTACTAAGTGTTCTAATTATCCACGAAGTTGAAGTTATTATCTACCATCTAAACAATTCCATGGAATAAACAACAAATACTTATAATGAATTAAGTGAAAAAATATCTAAAATATACTGATTTCGATCATGTTTAGAGAAATTTAGATTGTACCTTCGAAGTGGCTTCTTTACAGTCATATTACAAATATATGGTGATTCCTTGGGAGGGGTTGGCGTTGGAGGAGAAGCATTAGCACCCCTCTTGTTAAAACAAAGCTCTGCAGTTGCAGCCAATTCTTCATCTCCTTCATCCTCTCCTCTATAGAACCCAATAAGCGTAACAGTGTGGGGTATTAGCGTTCTCCTCTCAATCAAGTACTGCTTCACCAAGAAACCCAATAGATTCACATATGCCATAGGCAACAACATGGATTCCGCAAACGATTCAGATAAAAGTCCAACAGTCATGTCAATCTCATTTTCCTTCATCACACGAACCCACATCGATCCAGATCTCAATTCTTGATAATATCTGAAGTTTTCAAGAAATTGGAGCTTTTTCAACTCTTCGGCGGTGAAAAATCGACCTGAGCGAACCGAATCTTGCAGAGTTGATGATGATGAGGTTGGAGAAGAAGGGTGGGAGGAAGAAAAGGAAAGAGTGAGATTGTAACGACTAGATTTGTTAGAGGCGAGGAGTGGGTTTGTGTGTTTGGGGGCTAAAAATGGGGTTTGGTGAGGCTTGTACAAAGTAGTGGAGTAAGGAGGGGGGTGGTGGTGGTGGTGGTGGTGGTGAGATTGAGGATCTAAGGAGAAGGAGAGAGATATGGTTCTGGCCATTGCAAAGAGAATGCTTCGATGCTTGCTAAGGAGGATATATGACACGAGTGTGTGTGAAAAATGGTTTTAAGGACTAATAAATTTTTTAAACGCTTGCTAAGGAGGATATATGACACGAGTGTGTGTGTTAAAAATGGTTTTAAGGACTAATAAATTTTTTAAGGAGGATGTATGACACGAGTGTGTGTGTGAAAAATGGTTTTAAGGACTAATAAATTTTTTAAATGCTTGCTAAGGAGGATATATGACACGAGTGTGTGTGTGAAAAATGGTTTTAAGGACTAATAAATTTTTTAAATGCTTGCTAAGGAGGATATATGACACGAGTGTGTGTGTGAAAAATGGTTTTAAGGACTAATAAATTTTTAAAAAAAAATTTATCTCTTTAAAGTTTATGTAATTTTTTTTTTCTTTTTTTTTTTTTTTATCTGATTTAACGATAAAGAAAATGACATATTTAATCCAAGATTAATCCAAGATAAGAGTAGATGCAGTAAAATAAAGAACGGCAAGTAAAACCCCTGAGTTGTAACTTTTTCCAATAAATTCCTCATCTAATTTTTTATCAAAGAATCCCGACTTGTAGTCCTTTTCAATAAATCTTCATTGTCTAATTTTTTACAAAATAACTCCCCTCAACTATTTAAAGGGTGTAAAAGAGTTGATATTTAGACCAAAATGTCATTTTATTTAAATTTTAATTTTCTCGAACTTTAAAAATTCATATATCGCAAATCGTACATCCAAATATTACGAGTAATATATGCACGGAAAGCTTATAAAACAAATATTCCAGAAATATAAGATTGGTCTAACAAAACTTCATAACTAGAAAGAAATAGATAAGCCAAAAATCTACTGCAATAATTTTATTTTATATAAAATACTCGGGTTATTTGTAAGAAAATTTTCAAAATTATTCACTTTCATATAGATCATAAGATATAAAAAAATTAGCCCCAATAGAGACTGAATATTCATTTTTATATTTTATTAAATGACGAGTCTATAAAAGAATGAAAATACTTTGACGCAAAATATGATATCTCATTAAATTGATTTCTGTTGGGGTTAAATTTTTTATATATTTGACTTCATATGTAAATGAATAATTCTGAAAAAATTTTTGCAAATATCTCGAATATTTTATTTATTAAAAATAAAATAAGATTGTTGGACTAGATTTTTTGATTTTCTATTTTCTCTAATTATGAAGGTTTGTTGTAAAAATCTTATATTTCTAGAATCCTTATTTTATAAGCTTTCCGTAAATATATTATTTATAATTTTTAAATGTACAGTTTGTGAGATATGCATTTTTGAAGTTCAGGAGAATTAATATTTAAATAAAAGGGCATTTTGGTCCAATTATCAATTCTTTTACCCCCTTCAAATAGTTGAGGGGGGTTCTTTGGTAAAAAAAAATAGATAAGGGAGATTTATTAGAAAAATGATACAAGTCGAGGGAGGTTATTTGGTAAAAAAATAGATAAGGAGGGTTTACTAAAATAGATTACAAGTTGAGGGGATTTTTTGTACTTTGCCCAATAAAGAAAAATGAGATGGGTAATCTAATATGAGACTAGAGGCAGAGGCGGAGGTAGCATGTGCCCAGGGGTAGCTGCCCCCTGCCCATGCTGCCCCACAAGAAATTTTTATTTTTTTATATACAAATTTGTAAAACGGCCCCCCCCCCCCCCCCCTTAAAGTTAATAAAATTGTCCTTCTGTCCTTGAATCCACTAAATTTTATTTTATTTTATGCGTATAATTGTAAATATATATAAAACACCCTCATAAAATTTATAAATTATCTTCATAAAATTATCTATATTTAAAAGTGTCTTTAGTTCTTTATTCATTTTCCTTCGTATTCTTCAAATTTCTTTTTATTTCATTTTCTTCTTAAAAAATTCATTTTTCTTCTTAAAATTTTCTTTTTTCTTGCACTAATGCATAGTTTATGTGTAATAACCTTCTTTTTCTTTTTTCTCTTCTAATTTATTTTTTATTCACTTATTCTAATGCACTGTTGTTATACTATTATATTTTCGGCCTACTTAAAACATATTATATCAGTGTTAACATACCCCCCTGAAACAAATTCCTGGCTCCGCCCTTGACTAGAGGAACACAATAATAATAAGGTAAAATAAAATCACATAACAACCTTATACTATAACATATTTTATTTTTCTGTATCATTATTTACCCTATCCTTATATTTCTCTAAGCCTGTTCACTATTAAAAAATATGCAACGACCCAAATCCGTGGATCCGAACCGTTACCGGGTCTTAGCCCGAATCCGAGGGCAACTTGGTCAAACTCTTATTTCCTATGTTCAAACCTGTCGTAAGGCTCACTCCGGGACTCAAAATACTCAAGGAAACAAGCTTACAATGCTGGTAAACACAACCAGTCAAAATGGAGCAATCAGCTAGCTGGTAGCTCATGGTCGGCCGGCTGACAAGACAGGATAGGTCGACCGACAAGGCAAGATTGGTCGGCCGAAACGATGGTGAGGAAAATGGCTCTCGGGACTTTCACTGCGCAGGTCATCGGCCGACTGGAGTTAAGGGTTCGGTTGGCTGATGGAGAGGATCAGCCGGTCGAAACATGCAAACCTGGGATTAAATTCACTGGAATGCATACTGTCTGTGTGAAGTGCATGCTAAACCCGTGATGAACCTGTTATGAACTGAAAATCCGTATTCACGGCAGCAATACATGATTAAACACAATTAAATGCTTCAATAATAAATAAAAATTTGATCACCATTCCCATTCATCATTAAGTGTTTACATCCTATCAAATTTACATCTAAAAGATCATCAAGCATCTAAATTATATTACATGACCATGGTTTACAAAATGAATACACTTTTCTAAAACATAGGACTTTACAAGAGAATGGGAAATATACAAAAGATGACAAGATGCAATTTCAAGTCTTCATCAAACTTGTGGTGGAATATCATTCGCTACCTCTTTCCCGAGCCCTGAAAAATGTTAAATAATGGGGTGAGCAAATTGCTCAGTAGGTGGTACTTAAGACGCACCTCTTGTAACCCCGTGAATCCAACTATAGAATAGAACAATAGGAAACGGGGTCATACAAAGCAGGGTAAAAATACCGTATCAAATCAAAGTTCAAAATAATTAAATGCCATGCCGTGAATGCAATGTCATGTATGTCACTCCCCATGTTCAGGAAAATCCATCACTTCACAAACTGTTAATATAACTCGCCCTTTGGTTACCCCGCAGCGACACGAGAGAAGGTTTGGCTACTGTCCCTGACCTTTGGTACCCCCGCAGCGTCATTTTGGGCCCAGATAGCTCAACCACGCTAGGGTAATCTCCCTAATTCCATCTAGGCTATATTAATACGCCGGCCCTTTGGTGACCCCGCGGTGATCGGGTTTTTTCAAAACACTTTATCAAAAAATTTTCCCAAAACCCCCTTTCACTTTTATTTCAAAACACTTCCCCTTTTCTTTCATGCCCAATGCTATGAAATGCTTATCATATACTTTACCAATAATATGAGCATAAAAGAAATTTACATCACACAACTTAACATGTTCCTTCATAGCATCTTCTAAAAAATTAATAAACACCATAGGCATGTAAATTAACATCTAAGCATACTTTTCACACAATTTCTTTAACACATACAAGTATAGATTGCAATTACAACTAATATATCATTCTCAAGACAACTAGTTTAAAATTTAAGTATGCTTTGCAACAATTAAAGAGAGATGACTCACAAAGGAACAAGAAAAGTATGAATTAAGAACCCCAACCTTAAAATGATGCAAAACCCCCAATTTTACACTTCAAACCCTAGGATTAGAGATCCTCCAAATGGTGGCCAAATGAGAATTGGCTACGATTAACTTGTAGGCCTCGATGTGCTCTTTAATTTTCCTTAAACGGCACTTAAAAATAGTAAATATAGAGAGAGAGATCTAACTTCAAAGAATTGGAGCGAAAAGGAAAAATAAAAGAAGAAGAAATGAGGGGGAGAGAGAGCATGCGGGAGTGAGAGAGAATTGAGAAGATTTGAGACCAAAAGTGGTCTCTAGCCCTTTTTATGCAAAAGTGGTGGGTCTCACCTAATTATTTTAATTTTCCTTTTTCTTTTATCTTCAATTTACACCACATACATATACATATACACAACCATAAAAAATGCACATAAGGCACATCAAATAAAATGCATGGAGTGCAAATGGACCTAATCAAAATCCCTAGATCCAACAATACCGGCTGCGGATCCCACACGGGGCAGTTCGGCCCGAAAAACAGAAAAATGGAAAAATCGCCACCCTTACATTTCAAAGAGTCCTGGACTCAATGAAATGTCCCAAATAACTCTCAGACACAACCGGCACACCCCGTGGTGTCCGAAACGCAAAGCGGTAAAAGACGAAATTGCCCTTGCGGCGACAAAATTCCAGAAAAATGAAAAAAAAAACACTGAAATTTGGAAACATCACAAAATAATTCATACTTTCACTTTCACAAAAAAATAGAATCGTGATTTTGATTTTTAAGAGCTGAAACAAAAACTAAATTTATTGATTGTGAAGATTTTTTAATTATTTTTTTTTGTCACATCTCTTTTAATTAAAATTTGAGATATTAGAAAAAAAAAATTATAATGTGAATGTTTCATAATTTGAATTATATTTCCTTTATCCCAAACTATTTTTGTATATTTCTCTTAGACTGTTTGCTTTGGAGGGACAGGGAAAGAAAAGAAAGAAAGGATAAAACTTAATTGTGTTTGGATGGTTTAAAATGAGAGAAAAGAAATGATAGGGAGGGATAGGGAATCCCTCATTTCCTATTTCTCCAAAAATGAGAAAATATAAAGAGAAAAAATAGTATTTGAGTAGTATTTTTATAATTATGAAACTGCACTTAACAATTAAAAAGAAAAAATTATTATTCCACTCATATCCCTTTTATTTAAAATGATACGATAGTAATTTAGTTGTTATCATTTCTCTTCTTTTCTCCCGTTTATTATATCCGAATACCATCAT